CCCCACCTCTCTTTTTCTCTCTCCCTCTCTCCTTCACTACATCATAACTAAAAGAAGAAAAAAACAACAGTTTTTAGTTTCACGAACCCATTAACCATTAGTGTTGTGAACATTCATTCATACCGGTACATCAAAGTTCAGAATTCCGTGCATCCCCCTCCCCCCATTTCTTGCGCATGTCTCATACGTTTCTGTTCTTTCAATTTTTTCTGACATTCCGTAAAGATCAAGCTACTTAGGGTCTAAAAAAAATCCCTGAAGACTGCGCAAACGAAAACATATCCCAGAAAATATAATTGTCTCTTCGAACAGAGAAAGGTCAAGGCCATGCTCACGTGTGTAATTGTATCACAGAAGAACAGTGGTACGGTATGCAACAATGCGTGGGTGTTAAGAGCTATGTGCACTAGAAGGAGTGGTTCATAGGATGTACTTTTGTAGCTACCCCATCCCCTTTCTTCTCTCCCTTCCACTCCCAAAATAAAACTAAAAGAAACTCGACCCCCTCTCCCTCACCAACAAAGAACCCCCCCCCAAAAAAAAACCCCCTTAAAAAACACCAAAAAACAAGAAACAAAAAAAAAAACTGTATGAAAAGAAATAGACATACTAAAAAATAAGAAGCAGTGGCCAACTGGTCCCCAGCCGGTGGCCCGAGGGTGCTGCTTCAGATCGACTTCCAAAGAATGCGGCAGTGTGAGCACGTCAATAGCCTGCCAACACTCACCAAGCTAAGCGCCGGGCCTGACACCGACATTTTCAAGCAGACGCCACGAAGGACAGTTTTTCTTTTTTTACCCTGGAAGGTTACTGTGGCATTTTTCTACTTCACATGTTGGTTTCCACACTGTTATCTATTTGCATCAATGATGGGAAATGATGGCTTCAACTGTTTTCAAAAGAAGGAATTATTAAAACATTGCTGTTGTAATAAACATATGCCCATCTGCACTCGCCGATTGTTGGCTGACTGTTAGAAAGGTTGAAATAATATCAGATGGGTGATCTGATCACGTGTTTTCTTTCACTTTCTGATTTGCTAATAGATTAGCCCTCTGAACTATTGTTATAACCTCTTTGTTGTATGTATCAATTGCAAATTGAATGGCAAGAGCGCCATATAGTCGGTATGGTTCTCTGTAAGTCAAACAAACAAGATGGCAGATGGAATTAGTTGCTTTTTCGACTTGTCTTCGCAAGGCGCCACATGAAACACTTTCCGCATGCTGAAAAGAGAAAAGAATAGAATAACAGTGAACTTTTAACCAAGTCCGAGAGTCGGTAAACTGCTCGTCGACGTGTTTGTCCTTTTGCGAAGTTAATGTAAGTTGATAAAACAATCGGGTTACAGGGACCTGCAGAATTTTAAATTTGAAATCATCGGTTAGTTTAAGCCGCTAAACCCAACAATTTCCCGAGATCTTGTTTTCCACGCGAGCGACAAAGTCTTCCTGAGACCACACAATGAGCTAACCGTCAGCCGTTGACTGAATTTTTTAAACGAAACTTTAATTAATTCAAGAAGAGAGGGGAGAAAAACAAAAGTCGATGGAATCCATTGTCCTGAGCACTAAAGAAAATGTAGTTAAGCCTCAGTTCACACTCGTATAATTACGGGCATGCGCACAAGATTCCATTAATACTCTCGTGTCTGGCCTAACCGGAAGAGGAACCCCAGCCCTCCCCGCGTGGCGGCAGAGAAGCAGCCCTCGATGGTGCTCCTCCAGAGTGGCGATCTAGCCGCTGTGGAGTGCTCACTCACTCGGCCTGGCCCTGAAGAATGCACGCGCCTCCTGGAGAGCCTCTTTCTCCTTCTGACTTCCTGGGAAGTTCTTCCGCCAGCCATTGTGGCTCGTCTTGCCTTATTAATCAAGTGCGTCTTTTGAGCGAAGCGAGGATACCTTTGAGCGAGCAGTCGAGGGCCGAGGAGGGGATTGTGGGAAAGGGGGGG